TATGGCTAGCTGCAGCTAGCTGTAGCTGGGCGTTTCCTCTCGGACTAGTTGTAGCAGCTAGAAGCAGCTAGCTGGAACAAGCAGCAGCTAGCTGCAGCAAAGAGCAGCAGCTAGCTGCAACAGATAGCTGCGGCTAGCTGCAGCAAATAGCAGCAGCTGGCTGCAGCAGATAGCAGCAGCTAGCTGCAGCTGCTGCAGCTGCTGCAGCTAGCTGCTTTGATCAGGGGCGCGGCAAGACGCCGTTAGCTGCGGTCGCAAACCCTAATTCGTTTTTATCCCTCGCTGCAGCAGTTTAGCATATAGTCCAAGATGTTTGCTGCAGCAGTGAAATCCTAAACCCTAAACCCTAAACCCTAGGAGGCTGCTGTGAAGTTGCCGGAGAACGAAGAGGGCCCTTCCCCTTCCTCATCGCTGAAATTGTCGAAGTACCTGCAGCACAACCTCCAAACCCTAAACCCTAAACCCTAAACCCTAAACCCTTAACCCTAATGTCCAAACCCATGGATCGAAGCCCGGCAAAGACAAGCCGCTGGGAGCTGCTGCTGCGGAGCTGCTGCGCGCCGTGGCTGCTTGGGTTTAAAAATAAGGGTTTAGGGTTTAGGGTTTAGGGGTTGGAGCTGACTTGGAGATGAGAAAAGAAACCCTCTTGTCGATCGCCTCGCTGTGAAGAAACTGCACTCCTTCCAGCTTCTGCAGAACCCCCCAGCGCAAAACCCTAAACCCTAAACCCTAAACTCTGAATCCTAAACCCTAAACCCTAAACCCTAAACCCTAGACGCACCTCAATGCCACCCATGGCGTAAATCTCAGCGCGGGTTTTTGGCTCCTTTTCCAGAACAGCAGAAATGAAGTCCAGAGCGATCCTGCAGCAACAGCAGTTGGCGCAAACGAGGGTTTAGGGTTTAGGGTTTAGGGTTTGGCTATGAGCCTGCTCTGGAAGTTAAAAACCTAGGGTTTAGGGTTTAGGGGTTAGGGTTTCACGCCGCGTGCCGAGGGGACACCGCTGAGCTCCGGAACTCGTGCAGGGTTTGGGGTGAGGATTTAGGGTTTAGGGTTTAGGGTTTGCACATGACGGAAGCCAAGTCGTATTTGCAGTGCTGCAGAGTGTCCAAGACGGCCTCCAAAACTGGTGGGGTTGTTGTTAGAACTTGCTGCAGGTGGCGGCAGCCGTTGTTGAAGGCCAAGTGCAGCAAAGTTTCTCCAGAATCCTGGAAAAAAGTGAAAAAAAAGAAAAAATAAACAATTAAATGAAAATAAATTCAATATTTTCCATTAGTTCCAAAAAATAAATCAATTTCCTCAAAAAATGAACCCCAAAAACCAAAATCCGAAAACGCCAACGCCCAGGTGTATCTGCACCTCCTCAGGTGTACGTACACCCCAAACAGCCACCGACAATCCCCCAACACAATCAAACCCTAAACCCTAAACCCTAAACCCTAAACCCTTAACCCTAAACCCTAAAGCCTTTATTTTTCTGAAGTGTATGTAGACCGCAACGCCTACCCGGCGAATGTCAAAGCTGCTGCTGCTGCTGAAGATCGAAGCAGCAAGAGGCAGCAGCAGCGCAGCAGCGTCTTCCTGAGCAAAACCTTAAACCCTAAACCCAAAACCCTAAACCCTAAACCCTAGAGACAGAGGGAAAAGGGAGACGAAAAGAAACTAAGAGAAAATTACTCGCCCAAAGAGACGAAAAGAAAAAAAGGAATTAAAAAAGAAACAAAAAGGAATTTAAAAAGAGAAAGAAAGAAGATAAAAGAATTATTAAAAAGAAAAAAAGGGGGAACAAAAAGGAGATTAAAAGGAAATAAAAAGAGGGCAAGAAGGAGAATAAAAGCAAATTAAAAAAAAGGAAAAAGGAGATTAAAAGAAGGGAAAAAGTGACAAAAAAGAGGTAAAAGTGAAAAAAAAAGGCAAAAATAAAGGAGATTAAAAGGAGACAAAAAAGAAATAAAAAGGAGACTAAGAAGAGATAAAGGGGAAATTAAAAAGATGTGAGGGGGAGATTAAGAAGATATAAAAAGGAGATTAAAAAAGATAAAAAGGGAGACTAAAAATATAAAAAAATCAGATTTAAAAGGGATAAAAAGGGAGATTAAGAATGCATGAAACAGATATAAAAAGGAGATTAAAAAGATATAAAAAGGAGATTAAAAAGGTATAAACAAGAGCTTAAAAAGACACAAAAAAGAGATTAAAAAGATATAAAAAGGAGATTTAAAAGATATAAAAAGGAGATTAGGAAGACATAAAAAAGATATAAAAGAGGATTAAAAAGGTATGAACAGGAGATTAAGAAGATATAAAAAAGATATAAAAAGGAGATCAAAAAGATATAAAAAGGCGATAAAATGGAGATTAAAAAGATAAAAAAGAATATAAATAAAAAAAAGAAATTAAAAAAAGAGAAAAAGCACCTGCTGCGGAGGCCCTGCTGCTAGGGCGCAAAGAAGCGAAAGTGCTGCTTGTTGGGTGCCTCTGAAAAAAGTGGAAGATAAAAAAATGAATTAAAATGAATTAAAACGAGTTAAAATGAACTGAAATTAATTAAAATTAATAAAAATAAAACAATAATTGGTTTATTATTTCACTAATTCTGAAAAAAAGAAAAAAAACGAAAAAAAATCATGTCCTTAGGTTTCAAGCCGCACAACCAGCTGTACAGACGCCCCGCAAACCCTGATTCAGGGTTTAGCGTTTAGGGTCTACTTGTTCGCCTCTGGTCCTCTCAATCTACTATCTGCTGCAGCAAACCAATTAGGGTTTAGGGTTTGGCCTCTAGGGTTTAGGGTTTCTTCTACCTATGGTCAACGTGAGCTATTTATTACCTGCTGCAGCAAACCAGCTAGGTAGGGTTTAGGGTTTCGGGGTTTTTCTGCTGCAGCAAACCAAGTAGGTAGGGTTTAGGGTATAGGGTTTAGGGCGTAGGGTTTAGGGTTTTGGGACTTTTTACCTATGGCCATCGTGAGCTAAAAGCTGCTGCAGCAAATCAACTCCCAACTACGCGCGGCTTAGGACCTAGGGTTTAGGGTTTAGGGTTTAGGGTTTACTCACCTGTGGTCATCTTGAGATAAAACCTGCTGCAGCAAACCAACTAGGGGGCCCCCCTGGGGCCCCTCAGTGAGCTGCGAGGCCCAGAGGGTACTGACGCGTCGGCTGTCGCACAAGATGCCTGCAGCAGACACTCAGCAAGCTGCTGCTGCTGCTGCTGCTGCTGCTGCTGCTGCCGCTGCTGCTGCTGCTGCTGTTGCTGCTGCTGCTGGGCTTACTGAGACTCTGTAGAGCTGGCACGAGCCCGTCGGCCCCGGTCGCGTCCAGGCGCTCTCGCAAAAAAGAGTCTCCGCCGTGTTGCTGCTGCTGCTGCTGCTGTTGCTGCTGCTGCTGCTGCTTCGCTCTCCGGGCTCCCCGCATGGCCATTTGGGCTATCTGCAGCAGCGTCTGCCCAAGCTGCGGGCAAGCAGCAGCGACAGCAGCAG